CAGGTTTTGTAGTCCCTAGAAAAGGATTCAAGCATTTAAGCTGGGCTACAAGCATTTGTGTCTGAATCAACTAATAGGTTGAAGTCTTAGCAGCAAATGCTACCCAACTGGGAGTTCCTAAGTTGTGTGGTCCCATCTAAATTACCCCCTAGAATTCCAAGGGAATGTCTGCTGTTCACCACAGCTGATAATGTCACCATCACAAAATGTACCGTGGCTTTTTTCCCTTCAGAAATAAGTATGTTCCTATTTGCCTAGAAATCCTACTTGTGAAGGAGAGGAAAGAGGGAGTAATATCTGGGTATGTTTCAGGTGGAAGCCAAGCTAATTGACAAACTGGATAGCCTCATGTCCGAAGGCAAAGGTGATGAAACATACCGTGAGCTCTTCAACAGTATGTGAGTAATGTATTTATCTCAAGTTGATTCTTTTAGGGGACTTGGTGTCAGTGCAGAGCTGCACGCTTCCACTGGTGCTGAGAGCTCCAAAGACAGCTTTGGTCTCATAGGAGGGCTTTGTCTTTGTGGAGAAATAAAGGATAGTTTCCTAACTCTGACAAATGGATCTTACTCTGTTGATGATTAAACATCTCTCCTTATATTAATCTCCGATTAGGACAGGTCGCATGTGTTACATAAAGAAATCTCGCTCTCTTCATGCCCAATGGTTTTTAAAATCTGGGTGTAAGGTAATGATTTTAAGCAAGGTTACGACTAGGAGAAGAAAAAGCTGGTACAATTGTAGTGTTTGTGTGCAGTGCTTTTCCAAACATGACATCCTTGGCTGCTTTGCTGTTGGGAAAATTCATCTAGTTTGCCTCTGTTCTTCGAACACTTGATGAAATCCGTCAATATTGATTGCTCACTGAGCATTATTAATTACTTCGTAAATGTCTCCTCCTAGAAGATCAGAGAGTCAAAGAATTTTTCATAAATGCTGTGTTTTGGGATTGAAATGGAGGATGGAGCAATATAGAGTGCTGGGGAGGGACTTTGAAGTTGTCCCTGCCAATGGAGAAGGAGCCTGGGTGGTGCAAATTGTTTGCCATTGGCTGCTAACCAAATGGTTGGCAGCTCGAACCCAGCCAGCAGCTCTGCAGAAGAAAAGGCCTGGGGATGTGCTTTCATAGGCGTGAATTGCATGCACCCTCTGTTCATCTCCTGCGTTGAAATGGACAGAGAGGACACATGAGAATGTTGTAGTGCTTTGGGGGGTTGCGGTTCTGGCACTTGTTTTTGTCCGGAGATCTGTATGGATGATCATCAATTTCAAGCCTAGTATACTGATAAAGTGTTTCATTTTGAAGGAAGAATT